TGCAGCATCAGAGATGAAACTCATATAATAAACATTTTATTAATGCTTTTGCTGACTCCAGCACTAAAAAATGTAAATTAAAATATTTTAAAAAAAAAAAAAAGCTCAGTCAAAAGCATCTAGAGTTCTTTTTTGGTACTGTGAGATCTGCAGGAATGTTTAGCAACATAATCAATTGCTAACAATTTACAGTCACATATAAACGACTTATGTTGCGAAGTAGCGTTCAATGTTCAAATGGAAACTGCAGCATCAGAGATGAAACTCATATAATAAACATTTTATTAATGCTTTTGCTGACTCCAGCACTAAAAAATTTATGACTAATATTGAATTATTAGGAAAATATGGTTTGATGGACCAACTACTAGTGATCATGATTATGCAGATATTACGAATTGCACAAAGGATGTGAGTAAAATTGCTATCTGAATACAAAAAAGTTTTAATCTCATATACTGTCAGATAGGTAGCTAAAATGGCTTTAATAAAAGTTATCTGCTTTAAATGTCAGAATGCACTGGTACACCCTTTTCATTTAAAACAAAATAGCTTTTTAAAATTTAAATACGAAGCTTAATTAAATCATCCTTTGTTTTAGGTTCACCCTATCTAAATTAAATAACAAGCCATTCACCTCTTGTTCTTCTTAAAATTCAGTAAACACATTTTTTTGACCAGTTTCCTTCAGACTTTCTCCGTTTTGTCGTTTTTTGAAATATCAACTAGTTGTTTGTTCTAGTTGTCATACTTGGAGGCAGAATAAACTGATAAGGTTTTTTCGGAATTTTTTGCAAGGCTTCCTGTATAGAATTAGGTTCATATTTTTATATTTTTGAGATAAAGCTGCAATTGTTGCTTCTTCTTCATCAAAAGTATTGCAATTATCCATGTTTACATTATAAGTCACATAAATTACTTTATTTGATCAAAAAATAATTTCTGAAAACTTTTAAACTTTTCTTTTAAAATGTCGCAAAAAACAAATTTTTTTTACCGCAAAAAACGTATTCATTGTTTACATAATTTAAAAGTCGTTTATTAATTGATTAAACATTATATTCCCATTGATAAATCAAAAGTTTTAAAGATAAGTATGTATTCTCAACTATTAATTACCTTCATCATAGATAATTAAATTACCGGACCTATTTTTAAATAACATACAAATAAAAAAGCAACACTATATAAAGGTTTTAGGAATACTTGTTGATAATAATTTATCTTGGCTTCCCCATTTTAAATATTTACAATCAAAATTTAGTAAAATCATCAGTCTGATGTACAGAGTTCATCCATATGTAAATACAGTTTATCTAAAGTAATATACTTTTCTTAAATTAATTGTTTCATTAACTATGCTAATACTACATAGGCAAGTACACAACCATAAATTGAAAAAACATGTGTGTAGAATTATTTACGGGAAAAAAAGAGGAGACCCTTAATGAGAAATATGAAAATGATGAATGCATACAAAATAAATTCGATCAAGTTCCTTTAAACTGCCAAGGAAATTAAATAAAAATATGCAGAATATTCAAAAGCATATCGAGGACTTAAGTTATGGAATTCTTTACAAAAAACCATATTTGCATAAATATGGCAAAATCATTAAACTCATTTAAGTTTCAAGGAAAAAAACACATTTTTAATTTTGCGGAATAATAATTCCAAAACAATTTGTAAATTTATTCAATTGAATTTTACTTATCATTCTTAATAGTTACTAATGATATACGTTTCTTTTAATGTATTAATTATCAAATCTTTTTGTATAAGTTTGTAGGAGAAGTGGGGGCATAACCGCCCCCGTAACGTTTGGATTAATGTTATATGAAAAGAAAAAAGAAATATGTTTTTTAACAATTTATTTCAATAACCAAATCATTAAGCTTTAAACTGATGCAGTTAAGAAAAAAAATAAGCGGTTATTGAAAATGTTATTACATAAAAATTAGACTTAAGGTGAGTTTTCACTCATCCGTTTTTCTTCGGGAACGGATAGGAAAGGGAAAAATAATCACGTGAGCATGCGTAGTTTTACTTAGGACAAATTAAAACTTATAATACGCATGCCCACATGTTATTTTTCCCTTCCCTTTCCCGTTCCCGTAAAAAACGGATGAGTGGAAACTCACCTTTAGTGAAAAAAATGGTTTTGTCCCCATTGTGAGACACAACCGCACCCTCACAAAAATTGTTGGGAGTACACTTTCCTTGGTACATTTTCTTTACGATTGTCACAGCTCAGAGTATTTGCTGATTTTGTTGCACGTTTGCATAGTGTGTATTCTTTGTACATACAGTACTTTGTACTTACAGTTTTCTCATTCGATATACTCTTAGCTATATATTTTATTTAAAAACTCATAAAAAAAAAATAAAAAAATACGAAATCTAATTTCCAACAAAACTATTTCTATTCAAGTTTTTACATGAACGTATTCAAGTGTGACGATTGTAATTATTGTTATTCGTAATTACCTAACTTAAATAAATATTAAAAGTATGCGGTTGTGCCTCCTGTGCGTCTATGCGGTTCTGCCTCAGAGGACAGTTTTTAGAAAGAATACAGTTTCATAGCTTGCTTATTAGATTATGTTGATATCAAAAGTGGTTTTCATTTGATGAAATAATGCGTATAACATATATCTTTAACACTAAAATCAAATATTGCTTAAACCTCAAAAAAAAAGGTGTAACAGGCACTCTTTTTGACATAAGCAAAATGAAGGAAAGTGTTTTACTAACGCGTGGTATGTTTTTTGCCATATTAGATAAATTTTTTAAAAGGGAAATGTTAAAAAACGGTTGTGCATCCATATGTGGTTATGCCCCCACTTCCCCTATTTATTTCTGTGAATAGCTGAACATTGCAATTTAGTTATTGAAAAATATCTTTGTAATTGTTAAAATAAGTTTTTCTTGTTATACCTTTAGTTTTATATATTTTTTATTTTGTGACTTTTATATCTTGGATTTTTATAATTCTTTTTTAATATTTTATAATTTGACATATCAATATTTTATTATATTAAGGGGCTCTATGAAAAGATTGAGGTGATATTGCATCATCCATATCTTCTTTGATTCCCCGTCTGTTTTTAAAATATTTTATTTATTGATATTTACCATGCAAAACTCATCTGTAATTTATTTTAACAGCGAATTATAAAATGATATATATATATATATATATATATATATATATATATATATATATATATATATATATATATATATATATATATATATATATATATATATATATATATATATATATATATAGTAATTTTAGTGAAGTACAACCCAATAAGAAATAAGGTAAAAATAATTATATATAAAAATTCTAGAGTGAACCCCTGAGTTGTGTGTACTCACAGAGCTCAGCTAATAGTTTATGCAGCATTTGTAAATTTGTGATATCTATTGGAAAACTAATTTCATAATAGTTTATTATAAAAAGATATTCAGCTGCCTACCATGCAGTTGTGTTATTAACCTTCTAGCACACAACATTGGGTAGTTACAGGGCCACCGAGAGGGGGTACCACCAGGACAGTTTGTCACGGGCGGCAGATATTCAAGGGGCGCCAAATGAAATGTAGTTACCTAAAAAAAAAGAAAAAAAAAAGGTCCTTCAAATATAATATAGGCAAAATTTGATAAATAAGGGCGCCAATCAGGATTGCTGTCCCAGGTGGCGTGACAGCTCTCGGTGGCCCTGGGTAGTTAAGAACTAAAAGGCGCATAAATTATATTATAAACAATATTAAACAATTAATTTATAGTAAAACTAACTTTTTCGAACTTAAAATAATTATTTAAAATTTTTTTGGAAATTTGAAAAACTACAAGTTGAACTACTAGGTTCTTATTTCTACTAATAGGTTATACATAGTGTTTCCAGCTTATAGTATTATATGTCTACCTTATTATAAGCAAAACTAGTTTATTATAAGCTGGTTCTATAGTTTTAGGTATAATACTTAGTATAATACTATTAGCTGCTTATAGTATTAAACTTAGTATTATACCTAGAGCCTATTAGTTATATACAACTACTATGTTCTAGCAATAATACTAGTTTCTTATTTGTTCTTTAATAATGTTAAATGAAATAACTCTTAATTAATTTAACTAAAAAATATTTATCTTATTTAATTAAATTTAAAAAAAAAAAAGATATTACTTACTGTTAAAAATAAACTTATTGGTAAAGTATATTCTGTTAAATCAAATATTATAAATTTTTTAGAAATTTACGTTAATAATTAATATTGCATTTTTTTCAACAATTATTGTTATGTAAAATCAAAAATTATACTTATAATTGAGGCATGTACATTAAATAATATTTATATTTAAATAAAAGATATAAAAATTCGTAACGAAAATTTCATAATTTGTAATCGTGTAATGTAACCGAATCCATCGCCATTGTGGGAGGCCAAAATTGGCTTCAAAAAATTTGCCTTAAATACGCTATCCCGTTTTATACGCTATCCCGTTTTGTATAAGCAATCCTGTTTTATTTTGAGATCAGTGGTTTGGGATAATATAAAAATTAATAAGTAAACATCTCCGTTAACGTCAAAAGTTAACGCCGCATTTAGACGTCTTTTTGAATTCAAGGTTTTAAAGAATTTGTATAAATTTTAAACATTTGTCAAGGCTTGAAACCTAAATATACTCACTTTATTTAATACTATTTAATTAATAAAATTAATATTACAAAAAACGATCATGTTAAACTTAGCGTTTATGCTTAACTAAGCATTATTATTTTTAGAACTTATCTTTTAGTGGTGTTTTAGAAGCCAACTGTGGCTATTGACTTAAAAAGCGTCTTTGCAACTTTTTGAATCTCTTCTCAGCAAATAATTTAAATAAAATCCAAACTAGGCATTTTATTTAACTTATTGCTTGAAAAAATATTAATAATAATAACAAAAAATATCTATTACAAATACTATTCTAAATTTGTTGATATTGGTGCTTAATTATAACTTCCACGGTATTATTTCCTATTAATTTATTTAGATTTTAAAAGTAGATAAGTCGTCTTTCAAGAATTTCAATGGAAAATGACCGCTTTAAGCCACAAAGTTAAATTTAATGTAGAAGTAACTATAGATGTTATATGCCCTTGGTAAGATATTAGTCAAACAAATATTTTGCTTTTTATACGGTTTATAAAATGTTTAATGTGTTAAGTTTACATAACACTTTATAAAACGTTAGGTTTTATAATAAATTTATAACACTTCAATTTTCTTAGCAAATCAGGAAAATTACTAGAATATTACATTTTAAAAGAAAATCAGAAATTTTAGTAAAAACATCAATACGTTATTGTGAAAATTTATAAAAAATATATAATACAATTTACCACAATAAACTAGCAGCAGAAATTTCAAAATATTTTTAGTAGGTAGAAAAATTCAGATAAATTTCTTTTGACTTTATATGAAAAGTTTAGTGAAAATCATCCTATTAAATACTGCTACATAAAGATATTTTATACAATTTACTGCAACAGATAAAATACACAACTTTCTGTTGGAAATCATAGTAAATAAAACATGCAACTTTCTGCTAAAAATTACAATAATAGTTAAAACAACAACTTTCTGTTTAAAATTACTAATTGAGTGTAAAAAGTAATAAAAATATAAAATTAAATGTAAAAAATGTGACAATTGTCACATTTTTTACATTTAATTTTAGTTGTGACAACTGTGAAATTACAAGAATAATGAAGATAAATAAATTTAAAAAATTGATAAATTGTGAATTCTTACATAAAAAATGAGTTCTGAATTTTTCCGTTTTTAAAATTAAATTACATAGTGTCATATCCACATTACTTTTTCACTTTATTGTTAACTACTGGTTGTTAAAATAAATCCTTAGTAAACATATCTTAAAATAAATTTTATTTATAAACAACAGAAAAGTGTTGCTTTGTTTGGGTACTACCTTTATTATAGAGTTCAACTTTTTTCATTGGAAAGTCCATTACACATACTTTCAAGAAATTGAAAATTAAGATAATTTATTTTATAATTATTTGCATATTATAAACTATAATTAAATTCTTTTATTAAAACACTTTCTAAATTTAGTTGTAAGGAAAATTTCTGTGCACTTATTAGATACTACATAATCTGTCAAACCAGATGTACATAAACCAGTTAAAATGAAACTACTTTTCTTTTACAATGTTTTTTTAATTTAACTTGATTCCAACAAGACTGCAAGTAACAACTATTAAGTTGGGAGTTACTAAAAAACATAGAATCTAGTCAGAGAGCAAGGAAATAGTTGATACCAAATATACTTTAGATGTCAACTATTTTTGCAACTATATGTTATTAAATAATTAATAATCTAATCCACTAGCATATTTTTTTTGTTCATTACATTTTTTTGTGTTTTTTTTTTTTTTTTCTGTGGAACTTGTGTTAAAAAAAGGATAAAAGTATTTTAAAAAATTAACAACAAAAAAAAAATGTTAAAATGAACAAGGAATCCCAAATAGCTGAAATTTAAATAGTTAATTCAAATAACAGACTCTATGGTTAAATCAATGCAGCCAACAACAAATAAAACCCTTTATGTTATTATGTTTATTATCTGATTTTTTATGTTTGTGTAAACTGTATAAATAGTGAAAAAATACTCAATATTTTCACTGTTTTTACAGACTTTCACTAAAGTAAATAAGATTTTTTTACATTACAAGTGATTAATTCACTTCTAATATAAAAAAGTAACTTCAGCTTTTGTACAGATTCCATTATTGATGTACTAATTAATTGGTATCAGTCCATTTTTACCCATTTTTACCCATTTTTTTTAAATATCTTCGCTTCCAACCAGGCTGCAAGCAAGAGACACCTTTAGGTATATGAGACACCTTTAGGTATATGAATAGTCATTGTCCTATAATTTTTATTAGAAGTAATAAATATAAGTACTATTCCTATTATGCAATGTAACAACAATTAAGTTATATAATGTCAGTTTTCCTGCTAAGGTTTTTTGCCTAAAGACTGTCATACCTATTGTTGCCTGAAATCTTTCATAATCATAAAATCTTTGTTGTTTATTTTAAACTAAATATAGGAATAGCTTTAAAAAGTTCAAATAAATTCAAAATTAATTCTGATTATGTGATAAAAATAATGTCTAACAAAAGTTTTTGAAGAAAGTAGAAAATTAGGTGCCCTTTTTGGTTGGTGCCTTTTTTATTTTTGCCTAGATTTGAAAGGTGACCATGTTTGAAAAATACCAGACGCGTACAAGGAATAAATTTGGTATGTATAAATACAAATTGTATTTAAATTAGGCCCGTAGCCTGATTTAAATACCATTTCTTTAAAGGGGGAGCACTTTTTCAAGAGGCATCAAAAATAACATAAAAATAAAGGCGCCCAAGGGCAATTTTTTTTGGCAACTGTATTCACCTATTTTTTGATAAGATTTTGCATAAATTTAATAAAATGATTAATTATTTTTTTTATATTTTCAAGATGGTTTCACTTTGCCCTTTTTTGTGTTGTACTAACAATTTTTGAATATATTTTTAATTTCAATTTTTTAGTGGCCAACAGGACAAAGGGGAGGGCAGGGGAGTACATGCCTCCCTTACTCCCACCCTGCCTACGGGCATGGTTTAAATAAGTTTTACTAAAAACTTGCTTATTTATTTTAAATTTACCACGCGAAGAAAGTAAATTATGAAAAAATATTAAACAATATTTGCATTTTTAAATCACAAATATTTTTCAAAAGAATGAATTTTTTTCAGCAACATGTCATCTTTTTTAAATTTTCTGTAAATTCAGAGCAGTTATATTTTCTTAAATTAAATTTAATGAATAAAATAGCTGCCAAAGTTTTCATTGTAAGTTGGAATTTCCCTTCCGTCCAAATATGATTGGCAATTGAAAACAATCGCTCAACGGAAGCGTTTGTACCTGGCAAACATAGAGCGGCTTCCACCAATTTTAACAAATTGTTATAAGGAACATGATTATTTTCAAAATAAGAAAAAATTTTAACCCATCGCTTGTCACATTCAACAGACTGTCAGTTCCAAAAAGAAAACTTTTCCTTTCTCCGAATTTCATCAAGTAACTCATTGTCATCGAATTTGATTTGTGTTGATTTTTTCAAAAAAGTTATAGTTTCAATAATTTCAATCCATTCAACTTTACAGTTAAGCAAAGACCATTTAAAAACTTCAACTTGATTAAAGTGGCGCGTCTACTTATCTATATACTCTAGACAAACACTGTAAAAAATGTCTGCTTCTTTCAGAAATTGGTTTTTTAAATGATGACTACTTTATTCGGTAACTTGCAAATTCTGTCTTACCATGAAAGGTAGAAATTTTTCTTTTTTTCTAGATTTTATCTGGTCTTTCCAATCCTTTGATACTACGGTAACTTCAGCAGCAGAAATATCATCTTTCTCAATTTTTTTAACCGTGTTATAAAAAATATTGGCTTTACTGTAAACAAAAAACATTACTATTTTGCCCATTTCGTTTTTGAAAAAGTCAAACAAAAGTTTTGAACAATTTTCTAAGCTTAAAAAGTATGATTTTAGTAGTTGATATAAATTAAGCACTCTTTCGATAGGTGGAAGTAAGGCCAACCAATGAACTTTTGAGAATCCTAGCAATTTTTGATATTCCACACCGGCCTCATTGCAGAAATTTTCTAAACTAGTAACACATTCACAATTATTTCTTCCCATTTTGTACGCGCACAAGCAAATCTTGGATTATAAAATTTCTTAATTAGCTTTGATGTACAATCAGCACTTCTAAGGCTATGGTTGTGTTTGATTGTGTAGAATGTAATTGTTCTTTCTTGAATGGCTAATTCTTCTTCATTTTGACCAAAGCTCTGACTCTTCATCAACTTTGTGATTTTGTTTGACGATATAGAAGCATCTAATGCCATTTTGTATTTGATAGATTTGCAATGTGTTTAACCTTCTCTTCTTACTTTTCCTTTTTTCAATTTGATGTATAAATAGTTATAAAAACCTTAAATTACTTTCTTATGAACACTTATTTTTATGAACTTTTTATTAAAATAAATCGTAAAGCTTTATTTACAAAAATTAGGAAAAAAAGACATTACAAGGCAAACAAAATTTGCATAAAACGAGCCCATTTTCTTTGTTGTTGTTGAAAAAATCTTTCGAAGTAATTTTTCTTCTTCAATGGGATTTTTAAAAACTTTTTTTTTTTAATTATGGGATTTTAATTCATTTAGTTTCGTGTTTTATAGTTAAGTTTATTGGAATTTTATTCATTTTGTTTTTTAACTATATTTTAGAAAATTCATTTTTTAAAAGTCTTTCAAATAATATTTTTTGCAAGAATTTTCTTTTCTTTTTTTTAATATATAAACGCGTACACAAATGCGAACAAACCCCAAACGCGCAAAACTACAGTCAAATGCTTACTGTACGCGCCAAAAAAGCATATGGTCACATTGACATTTGCCTTATTGCAAAATATTCAGACTGTTTGAGTCTTATTGAATTTAAGTCTTGTTTTAAATTATTAGAGAACTTGGCTCACTTGTAGGTAGTGTATGACACCCTATGAATGCTTTAGTCCTGCTAATAAGCTCATAATTATAACAAAAGGATCTTTATGTGGCTTTGATAACGCACTAACAGGGACATCATCACATATGCACAACATGAAACTGTTAATACTCTAATGTTTTATGGTGGTTGATGGAATCAGCCTTTTTGAGATCTACTACATAGTTAAAAAAACTTACTACCAGTGGTCTAAGAACCAATAAATTGAGACTTTTAAATCTGTACCCCCATTAGAAAATAGAAGAAAGAGTTATATAGCTACTTCCTAGGAGTTACAAGCAAAAATTTATAAGTAGAATCTAAAAGATTCATTGTTCATCATTTTAAGTAAGAAACAATATATCACAAGTTTAAATTTATGTTAGCTTACAAGATGAAGAATGAAGTGCAGATTAGTCAACAAAGAAATTCTGTTTACCCCTAAAGTCTTTGCCTAGGATGCTTTCTGCAAGACATTAACTGTATGTTAACACTTACCAAAAATGAGTATTTTTTATCAAGACACAAGCCAGGGGG